GAACATCTGGGCCTGGGTTCCTTCACAGGTCGTAGCTTAATCCAATCCCTGTCCAGACCCTGGTTCAGGATTTGGGCATATTTTCAGGATCTTTAGCTCTGTAAACTCAGCCTTGGTCCCAGAGACTCCAAAGTTAGAGTGTAATTTGTCAATCATGGAGCTTGGTAACCCTGTCTAGAAACTTCAAGGCTGGACTATTTAGGAACCCATAGAGCTGAATAATACCTGCATGATGCAGGGAAACCACTGTAGCTTAGAATGTCCTGTTAGTAGCCCAGTATCTTGTTAATAGTACAATATCTTGTTGATTTCATCATTGGTTAGTAGTTGGTCCTACCGCACCTTCCTAATTAAAGCTAGGTTTAGGAGTGGGAGTGAGTACCATATATTCTTCTTTTCTTCCTCCAAAGATTCATTTCAGTACTTTAATAGACATTCAAAAATATGTGTCAATGGATTTATTTTATAGTTTTAAAAGGAAGTGCATCATGGGTCGCTAAGAGTCGGACACGACTGAGCAACTTCCCTGTCAGTTTTCACTTTCATGCATTGGAGAAGGAAATGGCAACCCACTCCAGTGTTCTTGCCTGGAGAATCCCAGGGACGGGGGAGCCTGGTGGGCTGCCGTCTATGGGGTCGCACAGAGTCGGACATGACTGAAGCGACTTAGCAGCAGCAGCAGCAGCATTATGGTGTGGTAGTGATATTCAGAGAACTCGGGAAGATTTTTCTGATAAGTAAAAAAGAATTCAGAAATATGTTTTAGATTCATTATTCTTGGGAGTAAAGGAAGGTAGTTAAACTTATATTTGATTTAAGGAAGGAAGAAAGGTTCTTATTCACTAAGCAACCGCGTGCTGAGTCATTTCAAACTATATTTAAGAACTCATTCCTTCTTTCTAGGATGCCTTAATTTACTTCTGTCATGCTGTAGTATCACTGAGTAAAACCAATGAAAACAGCTTTCTTTGATGCTGATCAGTGTGTTTATTTTTCTGCCAGACATCTGGAGGATATGCCTTTGGTAGGACTATGTGCCAGTCAACTCTGAGGAGCACAATTTCTAGCAGCATTTTACTTGAGATAAGGAACAATGAATACTGCCATAAACTCCCAAATTCCAACAGCTTTACACAACGATAAATGTACTTCTGGCTCACACCTGATCCAGAGTGTATCAGTGAGCAGTCTCTTGTGGTCCTGCAGGGATCTCATCTTCCTCCACCAATTTTTAGGACTTCAGAGTCTTCTAATGTCGCCTCTATAGCCAGCCGGAAACTAGGGTAATAGAGAAAATCTCAAAGGAGGTTTCTTAATGCTTCGTCCTAAATTATTGGGTAGAATCATGCAAGGGATTCAGTCATGTAGCCATGCATGCAAACTCAAGGGGAATGGTGGTGTCATCTAGCTGCGGGCTGAGGAGGCAGAAGAAAAGAATTTTGGTGAATACCGAAAGATCACAGCCACCAGCCAAAACCTGTTGTTTCAACTGCAGTTAGCTTTAACAGTGCTGTGCTTAAGAATTGAGACTTCAGAATCATGAAGTAGCTCATTAAATAATTCTTTGCTTTGGCTTCTCTTTAGTTTCTTTCACTTTTGTTATAAATGAGTTTTCCTTCAAATTTTAAAAAGTGAATTTCACTCTCCCTAGAGAAACATACCATGTAGCTTTTGCTAATAAGTTCGCAGAATGTAGGAATCTTGGTGCCAAAAATCAAACAAAAACTCAAGTTATATGCATTGAAAAAATTGAGGAAAAAATGGCTTTCTCATTGAGTTTGTTCATATAGTACTTCTTAGTCTTAATATTAAAGAAGGTAGAGGATTTGTTGTTGCTTTCTTCTATATGATTCTCTTAGGAAGTATGCTTTTAAGAAAAGATGTGTCAGCCTATCAAATGGGAGAAGTATTAGCAAATCAGACATCTTTAAGGGGTTAATATCCAAAATCTATAAAGAACTCCTATAACTCAATAGCAAAAAAGTCCAAACAGTCCAGTTAAAAAATAGGTAGACGATTTGAATAGACATTTTTCCAAAGAAGACATTCAGATAGTCAACAGGAACATGGAAAGATGCTCAGTGTCACTAATCGTCCGGGAGAATCAGAATCACATTGAGATATCCCCTCACACTTGTCAGAATGACTATTTTCAAAAAGGTAACAAATAGCAAGTGTTGGTGAGGATGTGACAAAAAGGGAACTCTTGTTCACTCTTGATGAGATGTAAATTGCTACAACCTCTATGAGAAACAATATGGAGGTTCCTCAAAAAATTAAAAATAGAACTAACTTGTTATCCAGCAATTTCACTTCTGTATATTTATTGGAAAGAAATGAAAACACTAATTTGAAGAGATATGTACACCGCATGTTAATTGTGGTATTATTTATAATGGCCAAGAAAGATACGGTATCAACAACCTATGTGTTCATTTATGGGTGAATGGATTAAAAACTATGGTATATATATTTTACAATGGAATATTATGGAGCCTATAAAAAGGATAAAATCTTGCCATTTGTAACAACATGAGTGGATAAAGTATCATGCTAACTGAAATTTCAAATGCTGTTGTTGCTGTTTATCAGTAAGTCGAGTCAGACTCTTTGCGACCCCATGGACTGTAGCCCGCCAGGCTCCTCTGTCCATGGAATTCTCCAGGCAAGAACACTGGAGTGGGTTGCCATTTCCTTCTCCAAGGGATCTTCCCAACCCAGGGATCGAACCCTCATCTCCTGCATTGGTCAGTGGATTCTTTACTGCTGAGCCACTTATCATACTAAGTGAAATGTCACATCGAGAAAGACAAATACCATATGATCTCATTTATATGTAATCTAAAACAAAGAAAACCTATCCAAACTCATAGATACAGAGAACAGATTGGTGGTTGCCAGAGATGTGGGGTAGGGGGGCAGGTGAAATGGTAAAGGTAGTCAGAAGATACAAATTTCCAGTTATAAAATAAATATGGGGATGCAATTTATTGCATGGTGGTTGTAGTTAACTAAACAATATTGTATATTTGAAAGTTGCTATGAGAGTAAAAGAATAAATCTTAAAAGTTTTTGTCACAAGAAAAAAAGTAAGTATCTATGGTGATGAGTGTTAACTAGACTTATTATGGTGATCATTTTGCAATAAACACAGATATTGAGTTATGTTGTACAACTAATATAATGCTATATGTCAATTTTACATCAATTTTTAAAAGAGAAAAAATGCTTTGCTTTACACTGATAGGCAGATATATGAGAATATCTGTAGCAAGGTTCCTTATCCTGGCAGGTGTCTGAAACTAAGTCTGGTAATTAAAAGACTTCACTTTGTATATTTTCTGGAATGAAAATTATTTCAGAGATAGCCAAACAGGAAATCTTGACTAGATAGAAACCATGATGCAGTTAGAGGAGTAAAACAGTACCATACCTAGCAAGCACATAAGCTTTTAGTAAGCTGACCACATTTATTCATTCAATTCATTTATTGAACCCTGTGTCCTAAGCACTATTTCAGGTGCTGAGAATACAGCAGTGAGCAAAATAAATATCCTGTCTTCATGGGGCTTAACATGGAATACAAGCTATAAAAATGGTTATATGATGGTAAATGTTGTAGAAAAAACTGAGAAAAGTTGCTGGGAGAGTGTGAAGGGCTGAACTTTTATAACTAAGGATTCAGGAAAGGTCTCATGGAGTGAAGATTTGAAAGAAGTGCGATAGTGGACCATGTTTCTTAGATACAAGAGTATTCTTGACAATAGGTAATAGCAAGCACAAAGATCCTGAGAGGAGAGAGAGCCAGAATTGTTCCAGAAACATGAAATCGACCTCTGTGGCTGGAGCACAGCCAGAGAAGAGCCATATTAGGAGAGAGGAGACTTGGATGTGGCAGGGGATGTGAAGGGACACTCCCTAAGAGCATAGTGAAGACTTTGCCCTTCACTTGAAGTGACAGAAGGAGCCAATTCAAGGTTTTAAGCAAAGAAGTGACATGATTCGACATGTTTTATGAGATCAGTCTGTCACTTGTGTTGAGAATATACTGAATGAAGGGACGAGGGTATGAATAGGAAGGCCAGTTAGGTGTCTGTTGCAGTAAGCCAGGTAAAAGCAGTAGTGGTGTGGACCAGGGTAATAGCAGCAGACGTGGTAAACACTGGTCAGACTCTGTATGTATTTTGAAACTAGAGCCAGTAGGGCTTTATGATGAATTCACCATGGGTAGGGAAAGGAAACCAAGGAAGACTCTGGGGTTTATTAACCTGAGCCAGTGGATAGATGGAGTTGCCATTTACTGAGATGGAAGAGACTATGGGCAGGTTTTGGCAGAGTTGGGAGGAACTGAATTTACGCCAGTTGCATTTGTGATCCCTGTTAGATAGCCCAGTGAATGTGTCAAGTATGCAGCTGGTTATTAAGTCTGGAAGTCAAAGGAGAGGTTAGGAAATATATATTTGGGAGAACTGAGAAGATGGATGACATTAAAGACGTGGGTCTGGATGAGATGACCTAGAAAGTGAGTAAACACAAAAAGGAAGACCATGGTCTGAGGCCTGGTGAGCTGCCTATTTGGAGAGATGATGGAGTCAGAAAAGAAGACTCAGAAGTGGATAATTAGTGAGGAGGAAAACCCAAAGTGTGGTCCTATCTTGGATGTCAAGTGAGAAAAGTGTTTCCAGGGGGAGACAGTGATTGTCAGATGTTGAAAACTGATCAAGTAAATGAGGATTGAGGAATGACTATCAGACTGGGCAATGTGGAGGTTCTTGGTGCTCTTGACCAAAGCTGCTTTGTGGAGTAGTGGTGGTGTGAGAGACTCTTTGAAGTGAGACAGGAAAGTAGGAGGAGTTAATTGAAGGCATAAATACAGACAGTGCTGGGGAGGGTTTTTGTGACAGAGGGAAGAGAAATAAGGTGGTAGTTGGAGTTGTTTAGTTGCTAAGTCATGAACTGTAACCCATGAACTGTAGCCCACCAGGCTTCTCTGTCCATAGGATTCTCCAGTCAAGAACACCAGAGTGGGTTGCCATTCCTTCTCCAGGGGATCTTCCTGACGCAGGGATTGAACTCAAGTCTCCTGGACTGGCAGGGAGATTCTTTGCCACTGAGCCACCATGGGAGACCAGTACTAGAGGGTAAGAGCTATTAAGAGAGTGTTTTGAAAGATGAGAGGACTAAGATGTTTGTTTTTTAATAATGAGTAGAACGGGGAAGATGGGTGCTGAAGGAGAGAGAAAGGAAATTTGGACAAGAAGAGATGGGAGCTGGGCACAAGTGGAAGGGTTGGCATCATAGATAGGCAGCTCATAGACTGATGAGAATAATGGAGGAATGGAAATTTAAGAAGAAAAATGGAGAAGATTCGAAAAAATTTTTAATGCAAGAGAGTAGGAGAATCTACATATTAAGGAACTATGATAGATTGAGTCCATTGTGATCCAGGGACTGTTGGAGTCAGATGTCTTGAAGCAGTAAGGTGAAAATGTAGGATGGTGAATAACTGTCTTATAAATTGAATGGCGGGTAGTCTGTTCCCAGCTGAGATTAATAAGGCTAAAGAGCATTGAACATTTCCCTGAGATGTAGAAGCATCGTGAGACATTTTTGGGAACTGTAGGTTTGTGCATTTAGTAGAGCCATGTATCCTTATCCGGGAAGGCCAGATTAACAGTGACATAGACTTCCGCACAGTATGTGGCAAGACTAAACGAGTAGTCTTGGCCAGTAGATTTTGCAGTTAAAATGTGTGCCAGTGAAGGGAGTGGGGCTAGTTGGATAAAATACAGCCCCCTAGGGAGGGTTTGAGCAAGAGACCTGCACATTATGCCTTCCAAGCCTGCAACGGGAAGTCAGGTTTTAATAGCTTTGACTTATAAAATTAATACCCTCCAAAGAAAATTCACCTGTTGCCAAATCTAATGCCAGGGTTTGGATGCTCCCAGTTCCTTCAAGTCCCGTGTTTGTTTTCCTTTCTTTCTTTTTTTCTTCTTCTTTTTATTATTCTTTTTGCCAGAGTTCCCTGAACTTTTAGGGATGATTACTGAAGGGCCTGTAATCTTTCTTCTTGCTGGATTATTTAATTAGAAAGCCAAAACGAAAGAACACAAGCAAAATTTTAAACATTTTGTAAAAAAAGATGCTTTTCTCCTGGCTGTGGATTTCCTTGTGTACATATAAATATACTGTTTATGTCTTGTAATTTGACCCACTTGTTTCGAAACCCAGCTCTCCAACACATGCCATTTTAGTTGGGTAAGGCTGAAAAACAGCAGTTCTGTCAGAAGAAATTCTGTTGACCTAGGTGCCAAAGACTTCTTATTTTTGTTTCATATATCTTCAGTTTTAGAATTAGATACCCTAAAGCTGCTAAACTTGATCTATCACACCATCAGATGTCAGTATTTAGCAAATGCTGTTGCCACTAATGGTTTTAACACTTGAGTTGTTCCACAGAGTCTACTTTTAAATCTTGTGAATTAAAGTTTCCATTTAATATCACCAACAAAGAGTCAAGAAATATAGACATAATTTTCTCATAAAAGGGACATAAAAATATTCCTTACCCATACACATTTTTGGTGTTGGCTGGTGTTAAGAGGAAAAAAATTTAAAGATCACTCTTAAGATTTGGCTGAAAAAAAATATGAGAGGACTTTGATGCATGAGAGTTGAAATGTATTCTATTTATTCCTCATGGCATATCTTTTAAGGTGAGTTATCTTCTTGAATTTATTTATATTGCTTTGAGTTTTGTCTGAGCTCAAGAATAGGGAAATAGAATATGTGCTTATGTAAAACATTCTCTCAACAGAGAAATGCATAATATAAACTACAAAGAATAGGTTCACCCCACATCCCACCTCCCAAGATAACCAAATTTAGTGGTTCAATCTGTATCCTTTCAGGTTTATTTCTACATGTGTATGTCCTTAGTTTTTAAAACAAAATGAGCTCTAATGTTACCATTTTAGCCTCTGTTTATTTTGTCAGTAAATTATGAACCTATTTCCATATATGATTTTTACCTCATTCATTTTATTGTATGACTGAGCTAATATTTTTTCCATCATTGAAGAAATTATTCACACTTCTAGTTTTTACTATTACAAGTAATGCTGCTATTCACCCTTCTATGCAATAGGATAACATCACCTATCTCGTAAACTTGTCCAAATGAGTAAATAAATACACTATTAAAGTGTCCAAAGAGTACGTGACACCTAAGACTTTCAAAAAGTAATTTTGAACTATTTTTCTATTTGTTCTTCATTACTAGTGAATATGTTTGTGTGACAGACTCCTAGAAATGAAATTATTCAGCTGATAAATATTATGAATTTGCCCTTGAAAAAGGTTCTGCCAAGTCATATTCCCTATCTTCGGTGAATAAAGAATTCTTGTTTCCTGACACTATTTAAATTTTTCAATAGCAGCATAGCGTACATATAGAAAAATATGATACTTGATGAATATTGACTCAACAAAGTGAATTTATAAATGCAAGCAGGATCCAGCTCAATTCAGAGTAGATTTCCATCTGAGAAGCTTCTCTTGAGTTGCAACTCATTCATTTGCCATTCCCCGCCCAGAGTTAAGCACTCTCCCCCCTCTGTCACTCTGGATTGGTTCTGCACTATTACATATATCTTCTTTCACTCACTGTTATCTGTTTATTAGATGGTTGTTGCTTAGTTGCTAAGTCTTGTCCAGCTCTTTTGCGACCCTATGGACGCTAGCCCGCCAAGCTCCTCTGTTCATAGAACTTTCCAGGCAGGAATACTGGAGTGGCTTGCTATTTCCTTCTCTAATTAGATGATTGGGACCATTCATATTCTTGCCAATATCAATGGTTCAATCATCTCCATGGTGCCATATTTTAGACTATCTTGTAAATTGTTCATTGTATGGTTGGTAGACATTTTATGTGTTTGACTGTTTTATGTTTGTTACAGATAACACTATTTGGATTCTTCTACATTCCTTTTGGTGTATGTGTGCATGTATATATGTATGTATATGTATATTTACACACACACATATAACATATACATGATATATTACACACACACAAGCACACACGCATACATGTTTATGTTGGAAACTTACCTTGGGGTAGAATTGCTAGTTGCCAAAGAAAGTTTGCATTTGGCTTTAGAAGTTTTCGAAGTTGCGCCGGTTTATCACAGTAGTGGCAATGTATGCTAGCACCAGTTGTACGTCCTGGCCTATCCTTGATATTATTAGCTTAAAAGATTTTGTCATTCTGATGGGTGTTTAGTGGTATATCATTGTGATTTTAACAGTATTTTCCCTATAATTAATGAAATTTAACACCCGTTTGTATGGTTATCAGTCATTTAGATATTCTGTTTTATGAATAAGTCTTTTTTCAAATCTTTTGACCATTTTTAAAATTGGCTTGTCTTTTTCTCACTTATTTTGGTGCGAGTTTTTCTTTTTCTGGATGTGTCTCTTGATTATTTATATATATATATATGTATATATATATATTTTATATATATCCTCTTAATATATATAATTAGTTTTTGAATGTTGAGTTTTAAGCCAGCTTTTTCATTCTCCTCTTTCATCTTCATCAAGAGGCTCTTTAGTTCCTTTTCACTTTCTGCCATAAGGGTGGTGTTATCTGCATATCTGACGTTATTGATATTTCTTCTGGCAATCTTGATTCCAACCTGTGCTTCATCTAGCCTGGCATTTTGCATGATGTACTCTGCATATCAGTTAAATAAGCAGGGTGACAATATGCAGCCTTGACCTACTCCTTTCCCTATTTGGAACCAGTCTGTTCCATGTCTGGTTCTAACTGTTGGTTCTTGACCTGCATATAGCTTTCTCAGGAGGCAGATAAGGTGGTCTGGTATTCCCATCTCTTTAAGAATTTTCCAGTTTGTTGTGATCCACACAGTCAAAGGCTTTAGCATAGTCAATGAAGCAGAAGTAGATGTTTTTCTGGAATTCTCTTGCTTTTTCTATGATCCAACGGATGTTGGCAATTTGATCTCTGGCAAATAGATGGGGAAATAATGGAAACAGTGACAGACTTTATTTTCTTGGGCTACAAAATCACTGCAGATGGTGACTGCAGCCATGAAATTAAAAGACGCTTGCTCCTTGGAAGAAAAGCTATGACAAACCTAGACAGCATATTAAAAAGTAGAGACATTAGATTGTTGACAAAGGTCCGTCTAGTTAAAGCTATGTTTTTTTCCAGTAGTCATGTATGGATGTGAGAGTTGGACTATAAAGAAGCTGAGTGCTGAAGAATTGATGCTTTTGAAGTGTGCTGTTGGAGAAGACTCTTGATTGTCCTTTGGACTGCAAGGAGATCAAACCGGTCCATCCTAAAAGGAAATCAGTCCTGAATATTCATTGGAAGGACTGATGCTGAAGCTGAAACTCCAATACTTTGACCACTTAATTCGAAGAAGTGACTCATTGGGAAAGCCCCTGATGCTGGGAAAGATTGAAGGCAAGAGTAAAAGGGGACAACAGAGGATGAGATGATTGGATGGCATCACTGACTCGATGGACATGAGTTTGAGCAAGCTCTGGGATTTGGTGATGGACAGGGAAGACTGGCGTACTGCAGTCCATGGGGTCGCAAAGAGTCGGACACGACTGAGTGACTGAACTGAACTGAACATATACGATTAGAGATATTTTTCTCTTAATCCTGTTTTTAAATAAACAAGTTGTTTATTTTAATGAGCTCTGCCCATTCAACCTTTTCCTTTACTAGGGTGACTTTTGTTTCTTGTTTAAGACATCTTGGCCTCCCCAAGGCCGTGAAGGCATTCTCTGTTTTTACTAGAAGTGTTGTCATTTCACTGTTTTTCGGTTAGATTTATAATCCATTATAAATTGATTTTACGTGGTGTAGGAAAGTAGCCCATCTTATTTGCCTCCTGTACATGTGCTCAGTCGTTCAGTCGTGTCTGACTCTTTGCAGTCCCATGGGCAGGATTGTATGTAGCCCCCGAGCTCCTCTGTCCATGGGCTTTTCCCAGCAGGAATACTGGAATGGATTGCCATTTCCTTTTCCTTCTCCAGGCTCTTCTGTCCAAGGGATCTTTGTGACCCAGGGATCAAACTTGTGTCTCCTGTGTCTCCT